ATACTAACCAACTCTAAAACACATTGAGCAAGTGATTGTTTAAGGGGGTATATATATATTTTTTTTTCTTAAACCATACAAAGAGACTTTCCTGAGTCACATTCCTGTCTCCTCTTTCTTACCTTTTTCTCTCCTCCCATGGGAGAATGAGCTAGACAACTGATGAGTCTGAAAGAAGAAAACGGGCATGCTTTGCTCTCAGCCCTTTGCATTCTCTCTCTGGGATTTGCTTGTTTCAGTCCTGCCCTTTGACATACAGTAAGGATCTCATCCTGGTTAAGTAGAGGCCTAAATTGTTGTTATGCCAGTGACTGGATGTGTAAATAAGCCTAATTTGGGTGCAGAGAGGTTTAGCAAAACAACCTGGCTTCACGGGCAACTCATGTCCTCTAAATTAGCTTTGAGCAGTTTAAAAAACCTGACATTTTGATCTCCATGTATTCAACCCCTGCGCCTATCACCCAATTGGTTCTAATCACAGATAGAGAAGAGAGAGTCTTCCCTAAATTCCCAGTGTAACAATTTCTTTGAGCCTCAGATTCCTCCTTTGTAAAATGGGGATATAAAAACCTACCCCCAAAAGTAATTGTTTTAGTGATTAAATAGGCTAACAGTAAAAATTTTTTGTATGATTGAAAATGCATAGGCAGTGGTTTCCTTTTCTCCAATGTCTTGTGTTCACTTTCTTCCTCACTGACCTGCAATTCCTGTAGGTAAGTTGTTGCTGTCTTTGAGGGCTTCCTATGTGTAGTTTGTACTTCAATTTCCACCTCTTGAGGACGAGGTGGGAACAGCTCTTGGTAATCCTTAAACCTGCCAGAAAGAGACCAAGGATATCAGAGGTGGCAAAAAATCTGGCACATAAAAGATAACAGTCAAGGCAAATCTACCCCAGTTTTTGGAGGAAGTAGCAATGGAAATTGGGGAATCGAGAGATACTCAAAAACACTCTTCTTACCATTTCAGTTCTTTGCTAACGTCAGTCTATCCTTTCTGATCAACATTATATCGTTCTTTCTTAAGGCAAATGAACAGAAGTGTGTGTGCATGTGTGTGTGTGCATGTGTGTGTGCAGGTAGGTAGGTAGGAGGGTTCAAGATAAGTTTGGTTTTTTCTTTTGCAGGGAGGCTCTGGCAATGAGCTATGAGAATGGATTATGAGCCTTGATGAAGCTTTCAGAAGCCAATGAGCAACTCCAGAAAGAATCCTTGCCTTCACTGAGCATACTCACCACTTTTCTTCCAGAGACTTCATGACACATTCCTGGAGTATAAACAATTTGCTCATTGTGACATTTTGCATGCGAGTGATGTCTTCGATAATAGGGGCATCACATTGCAGGATATCTTCTAAAAAATGCAAGAGAGAGAAAAAAAGTCATCCTCCTCCTCTACCATGTCTGAGGTAGGAGGTGTTTTTCCATCTTACAGTCTCACAGCCCCCTATTCTCAATCTGGCTAGCCACTGACCCCTCCACAATTTGTTTGCAAATCTCCAAAGCATATTTGGAATGTTATGTGCAAGTGGATTTGTATATCAAATACTGTCCTGATTTAGTTCCATTCAAATTTCAGAGATGAGTGCTTCGGGGAAAAGACATTTTAAAAAGACTCATTTCTACAACTGGTTTGAAGTTCTGCAACTGGTTTGAAGATGTAGGGAGAGAGCAGAAGAATAAAGGATTAAATTTAAATTGCTGGGGAAAATGGGAAATCCAAGATTAGAAATAAATATTGTAAGGGCAATGTGGTTCTCCAGGTGTTCAGAGACTGTTGAGCTCATTAATGAGACTCGAAAACTTATCAAGGATCTGGGTACCCCTCTTTCTTGTCTAGCTCATTCAAAATTATGTATAGAACTTGACATGCTGAGATTCAACAAGTAAATATTTCTTACAAATAAAGATTTGCTAATTTTACCTCTCTATACTCATAAAATTTATTCCCTTATTTTGGTTTACTGCAAGCAAAAAACAGACACACAAAAATCCCATCTGTTTATCTGTGACAAAATAGGAGGCTCTATCTTCACTGCTTTGCTATAGATTTGTTTACCTCCAGGATGGGATCATGCTCACCCTCTTTTGTTCTCCTTTAGAATCACAGGTCAATACTTTAGTTGTAACTTCTGCTTTTGAGCAACATGAATTTACATGGGCCAGATTTACCTTCTTGCCTTAGGCAAGAAAATAAGACAAAATTTTTGAAAGATTTCCAGATGTACGGTTCTCCTTCCCATACAACTCTCTTTGCAATCCATGGTGGGTGACCACTCCAACTTTGTATACAGCTAACCCTTTTGTATCTAATGCCAGACTAGTCGATTTGATGGTCAAATGACAAATTTGAATTCAGGTTCCACCAACTGAAGAAGCTAATTAACTTCTCTGTGTTTCACCTTCTTCATTAGTGAAGTGGAGATATTCATCCCTATCCTACAGTGATTAAACAAAATTCTATTTTCAGAATCAAATAAAATCAGACGAGAAGATTTATGTGAAAATATCTTGCACTTGGTTTCTTTTACTAGTATTACAGGCTTGGATTGATTATTGCTGTTCTTTGCTTAACTGTTCCTCTTAATCTTTGTCTCAATACGCCCCCACGTGGTCGCTGCCTAGCTCTGCTCTCTCCAAGGGCTCACATGAGATGGGCTATTTCCAGATTATTCTCCTAAAACACTATGCATACCGGGAGAGATATTGCCATGGAAGTAAGTCTTGATTAAATTTTCAAGGAGAGACTTTTGAATCTTTTCACTGGACTCCAAACTGATCTTTTGTGCTGCAATCAGGAACTGCAATGGGCCTTCAGCCTTCCGTTCTTTGAGGAACTCCCTGAAGAACTCCAAGTGGTGTGTATTTAGGAAGACTTCTGTTAAAGTTCTGGAAAACAAGATAGCACCATTAGCAGAGAGAAAGGGATGATGACCCTGGATTCTGTTCCAGTTAGGAAATGGGGAAGGGCATCTCCCAGGCTGTATGGCCTTTAGCTGCATGTGAAGAGCATGGTAGATGAATTGGTTAAATCTGTCTATTTTCTTGAAGATGAACTTGAACTTTTACTCATCCTTCCTAAGCTTTGTCCAATCATTTGATAATCCCAATGGAAGAGGAAGGGAGATTTCTTAAAGGGCATAATTTTTTTTCAAGGGAAATTTCTTTTTATATTATGAATTCAAAACAACTCTTAATTGGCAATTATTCTTGTGAGGCAGAACATGACTGATCAGTGGTTATTGATCAACATTTCTAAATTTTCTTTGCTGATTTTTTCTTTCCCTGCTCCTTGAATATAGGTGCCCTTAATGTTGCATCCTCAATCCTTTTTCCTTTTCCCTTATGGTTTTTCCTGAGAATCTGTGCCTCATTTGTGGTTTCAATTTTCATTGATATGAGGAAGTGGTTTAAATTTTCACTAATATGGTAAAACTATCTGCAGTTTCCATGAGCTCCATTTCCAAATTTCAACTGCCTATTGAACCTCACCTTTATGTCATAGTTAATTATTTAAACCTCTGTAAACACACCCACATGTTGACCAACTTGTTTTCCTCCTTTATATATCTATTTCATTAACTATGATATTAGCTATAAGTTTTTAACAGATTGCCCTTTATCAGGCTGAGATTGTTCCCTTCTATTCTGATTTTGAGAGGTGTTTTTTTAAAAAAAAATCATGAATGTGTGCTGGATATTGTAAAAAGATTTTTTTTGCATCAACTGAAATGATCATGTGAGTTTCCCCCCTTATTTTATTAATATGGTATATTACATTGATTTTTGGATGTTAAACCAACCTTGCATTCCAAGGATAAATCCTACTTTGTCATGCTGTATAATCTTTTTTATATGTTGCCAAATTTTGTTTGCTAATATTTTGTTGAGGATTTTCATCTCCAGATTCAAGAGAGAGTATTGGTCTGCAGTTTTCCTTTCCTGTGATGTCTTTGTCTGGTTTTGGGATCAGAATATTGGCCTCATAGAATAAACTGGCAAGTGTTCCTTCTTCCTCTGTTTCCTCAAAGAGTTCATGGAATACTGGTATTATTTATTTTTAAAATATTTAATAGAATTCTCCAGTGAAGCTATTTATGTCTGGGCTTTTCTAAGTAAGAAAATTTAAATTACTAATTTAATTAATTTTCATGTTATAGATTTGTTCATATTTTCTACTTCTCCTTGAATCAGCTTTAGTAATTTGAGTATTTCTAGAAATTTATCTGTTGCATCTAACTGGTTTAATTTGTTTCCTTCATTTCCTTACAATCTTATTAAGTTCTGTAGAATCAGTGGTTTTGTCTCCTCTTTCAATCCTGATTTGGGTGATTTGTGCCATCTCACTTTTTTCCCTTGGTCACTATAGCTAATAGATTATCAATTTTGGTCTTATTAAGTTCTGTAGAATCAGTGGTTTTGTCTCCTCTTTCAATCCTGATTTTGGTGATTTGTGCCATCTCACTTTTTTCCCTTGGTCACTATAGCTAATAGATTATCAATTTTGTTAATCCTTAAAAAAATTTGTTTGCCTGGATATTCTCTCTTTATTTTGTTGATTTACATTTGAATAGTTATTATTTACTCCCTTTGAGTTTAGTTTGAATATGTCATCTTACTACCTTTTGTCTCCATTGTTTCTGATGTGAAGTAAATTTTAATTGTGTAGTTCTCTTGAATGTGAGTCATTTTTCTCTTGCAGCACTCAAGATTTTTCTCTTTGTCTTTCAACAAAACGGTAAGTGTGGATCTTTTTGAGTTTATCCCACTTGGAGTTCATTAAGTTTCTTGTATTTCTTGATTAAAAGTTTTAGTCGAATTTGGGCAGTATTCAAGCATTATATATTCAAATACATTTTTCCTGTCCCTTTCTCTCCCTTTCCTTTCATTCAGAGACTCACATTACTTGTACGCTGGTGTGCTTGATGGCATCCCTTAGATCTCTGAGGTTCTGTTTATGTTTCTTTATTTTTTTTCTTCAGACTAGATAGTGTCTATTGAGCTATCTTCAAGTCCACTGATTCTTCTCCCAACTCAAATCTTCTGTTGATTCTATCCTGTAAATTTTTTATTTCAGTTATTATACTTTTCAACTCCAGATTTTTATTTGGTTCTATTTTATAGTTTCTAACTCATTATGGATATTCTCTATTTAATTAATTATTGTCACCATACTTTAATTCTTTAAACATGGTTTCCTTTAGTCTGTTGAACATGCTGCTTGGAAGTCTTTGGTGAGTCCAACATCTCGATCACTTCAGAGACAATTTCTATTGACTGTTTTTTCCCCTTGTATATGGGCCATACTTTCCTGATTTTTGTTTTGTTTTGTTTTTGGTATGTCTCATAATTTTTTTGTTTAAAGCTGACATTTTGATAACATATTATAGCAGCCTTGGAATCTGATGCCATACACCATCCCTCATCCACCAAAGGTTTGTATTGTTGATGGTTCTGTTTGCTTTTTCTATTTCGTTTTTCATCAAGTGACTCACCTGGACTCATTCTATAGAGTATGTTTGTCCTGCAGTGTGTGGCCACTGAAATGTCTGCTTAGATTTTTTTTTTCTTTTTTTAAATCTTGTTTTTTCTTTTTAATCCTAGCTTTCAGAGCCTCATGGTCAAACAAACATAAGTAGATAACCAGGTCCCTCTTTGGTCTCTCAGGAGCATTTGCATAGACTTATCACAGCCTCCTAGGAATGTCTTCTTCCTTAGATTTATTTTATACTTTTATACTTTTGGCTGTTTTACACTCCCTTTTATACTTTTGGCTGTTTCACTGCTTGCCCCAGCTATTATCACTGCTTTAAGTGACTCTGATGGTGGCTTTCCCAATTGTTTGCCACAAAGATTGCTATTGTTTTTGACACTGCTTCTGGTCATAAGCTTTTCTGTGCAGTTCCAAACTATGTCATCCTCCTCTGCTGGCAGTAAGACGGCTGGTATTCGTGGCTATCATGCTTGTGGGTGATGGTGAGCAATCCCAAGTTAAAATGTCTCAGACTCCACTGCTCTTACTAAAGTCTGGTAGTTTTCTTGCATGAACACTCTTCAATTTGTTATGTACCTTTAGTTAATTTACAGAGTTCTGAAAAAAATGTTTTGACAGATTTGCCCAGTTTTATCATTGCTTTTATGGGGAGACAATTTGCAAAGTTTTTACTCTACCGTTCCAGAAGTCTGATTTTTCCTCTTCTGTGCTTTTTTTTACATCTATATTTTCCCTTCTGTTTCCTCTCCTACTGTTTACTTTCGGCCTTTAATATCACTTGTCTGAATGACTGCAACAACCTTTCAAATATTATTTCAGTCTTTAATCTCTGGGTCTCTGACTGCTAATACTATCATTGCTATTTCTGCTAGATTAATATTTTTTAAAAGCATAAATGGGTATTTCTGCCACCAACTGCTTTAACAAACACCAATGAATCTTCATTGCCATTTAATCAGCAGAAATTCATTAATAATTCACTCAAAACCTTCTTGTGGTTATTAATCTCAATTTGGCTTTGTAATTTTATGTTTTATATCTCTTCACCTCATGCATTCAACGCTTCAACACTACTGGACTATTTTCAAGTCTTTGAATACTTCCTTTATATTCATGAGTTTATATCTTTGTGTCATTTCTCCAGGTTGTGGGTGGAGTAAATGTGCCCATAAAATACTCCCATTTCTTTGCAGTTGAATTCCTACATGCAGTTCAGTGCCTCTTATGACACTCTAACTTTTCCTAACCCTCACTCAAAATTTTTTTTCTCTTTCCGTTATACTCCCATACTAATTAGCCAATATTTTGTCATAACTTCTAAAGGTCAGCCTTGTATTTTATTTAGTTATGTATTATATTAAGGGAAGGACTATGTCTTCTTTTTGCATCATTAGCTCTCAGATAGTGTCTAGGACACAGTGCATGATCCATAACTGCTTATTACATTAAATGAGGGCTAGAAATGAAGTTTAAGAGACTTTAAACTGCAGTATCCCTGGGCCATTCTGTTGCAGTCTTAACTGAAGTCATGAAACTGGAATATTCCCTCTAGAACATAATGATCCTATGAACATGTGATTTAGAAAAGACTTCTGTGAGGGCTGGCCCCGTGACTCACTTGGAAGAGTGCGGTGCTGGTAGCACCAAGGCTGAGGGTTCGGATCCTATATAGGGATGGCTGGTGCACACAATGGCTGAGCGTGGTGCAGACAGCACCGGGCCAAGGGTTGCGATCCCCTTACCAGTTAAAAAAAAAAAAAAAGATTTCTGTGAAATTTATGCCCAACTAAATTGGAAAATAGGTCTTTCATAGACATAGTGGACAGCAGTGAGTAGTACAAATTGTAACAGCAGAATGGATAAATGATTGAACCTAAAGAAATTATTTCAGTTACTTGAAGGAAAAGAAGATCTATTAGAGTGTTTAGAAGAGATGGAAGACTTATCAACCTCAATGAATGTTATCAGTAATTGAAAACATTCTCGTGGGAGTTTTTTTCTATGCAAAATATTCTGCCAGAGGCTTTAACTACTAAGTTTGTTGTGCTAGTATATTCTCATTATCTAGATGAGAAACTTTCATATAGCTAGTCATTAATAGATAATTACTGAATAAAAAATGAATAAATGAGTGAATGAATGGCATAACCCACAAGAAAATTATAGTCAAGGAGGTAGAAAACATACCTAAAAAATAAAGATCAGTAAAAAATAGTACATGGTAAGTGCTTGGTATTGTACTTGAGAGATTTAGGGCTTTAGAGGAGGGGGAAGTCATAGCAGACATAACGTTTGGAGAAATTTTTATGCATAGGTGGCACTGGTGCTAAGGTTAGTGAAAAGAAAGGTGGGTGGGCACTCCTAAAGAAAAGGCCACAGAGTCTCTGCCTAACAGTGGACCTTACCAGAGGCTGACTCTGATTAGTTATAAGGGGAAGAAACAGGAAGTAAGGAACCAGTTATGAGGCTACTATGTAGCACATTATTCAGAAAAACAAAAATAGGCAAGGATACATGTATAAGTATATTTATTGTGGTACTATTTATAGCAATGAAAAAGATAATGCAGATATTTATAAAAGGGTATGATTAAGTAGATCATAGTACACTCATAGTACGGAAGGGGGTAGATCTATACATACTTACATGAAAAAGATGTCCATCAAATTTAAGTTAAAAAGAAGTTACTGTGTAATATATATTGCATGGTGCCAATTTTAGAAAATAAATAATGATTTAAAATACAAAGTGTCTGTGAGTATTCATACAATATATGGAAAAATATCTGGAAAACTACACACAGAAAGTTCAGCATTAGACATGTTGAGATTAAAGCTTGTGCCTGGAAATGTTGTTGCAGCCAGATCCTGCATCTTACCTGGGTCTCATGGAGGGCTTTCTTATGCCAGTTCTTTTGAGGGACATTTTCCTATGAGAGTGTGCAACGACCCTTGGTTCCTTGATAATTTCCACTGTAAAATCTAAGAAAAATCACAAAGTTGCAGAGAATAAGAAGATACAAAATGGCAAGGACATTTACCAGACATTAAGTACATGTGGAAAAACCACTGTCCCCACAAGTGCTTCCATCTCCAGCTATTAGTGCTGAGAACAGACTTGGGGATGATTCACTCCCCTGACACTAACATCAGTCCAGGCTGTTATCTAAATATGCTGGCCATTAGGCCTACGGCTCACCCTCCCCGGAGAGACTGCTGAGACCAAGTCCATTGTACTAACTCCTCCGCACTACATTAGTCAACACCAAACATCATCCCTCCTCCAATCAGTCATTTTTACTGAACCATACTCCATATGACTATCTGTATTCCTTGACACTTCTACTGTCCAAACCTAAACCCCTCCACTTGCCCCCTGGAGCTCTTTCTTTGTAATCAGCAAACTCTCACAGATTCTTGACCTCTTCTTTAAGAGTTCCCTCTGCCTTCTTGTTTTAACTAAAATCACTTTCTTTCCCAAGAGCACTGCTTCCACTGAAAGCTTCTCAAGTGGTAATCCAGCACACCATACACAATTCAGAGTGGGTGTCTGACTCCCTATTGCCATCTAGAAATCATTATTGAAGAATAATAGATTCTGTGGATCTCAGTATTATAAGAACTCTTTGAAGTTAGTGTTGTAGAAGAAAATGTAAATTAGGAACTCATCCAGGGAAGTGTAGTGGATTGAATTATGTACCCCCAAAAGTCCCTGGACTTTGAATTGTGTCCCCCAAGTTTTATGTATTAGAAACTTAGCCCTCACTGTGACTGTCAAGAGGGTGGGAAACCCTATTATGGTAACTGAAATGTGGGGCCTTGATGAGGTGATTAGATTGTAGGACCATGCAGTAGTGAATGGATTAAAAATGGTGGTCAGGGGCATAGTTCTGAGGGCTTTAAAAGGACAGTAGTTCTGAGGGCTTTAAAAGTAGTTCTGAGGGCTTTAAAAGGACAGTGTATGAGGAACTGTCCTCTCTCTCTCTCTGCTCTCTCTGCTCCACCATTTCAGAATGTGATACCCTATGTCACTGTTGCTACCACCAAGCCCCTCACCAGATATGTTCCCTGGTCTTTGGACTTCCTAGCTTCCAAAACTGTAAACAGTTTTCTTTCTAAATTACTTAGTTCCAGGTATTTTGTTATAAGCAACAGCAATGGACTGATAGAGGCAGGAATGATGTATTATTGATCTCACCCCTAGAAATTAGAACATGATCTAGTAATATAGTCAATACTTTAAAATGTTTATTAAATAGGATGTACCCCCACAAGAAAATTTTGTGTTGTTTGGTAATACTTTCATTGACAGACAATATTCAGAAAGGATTGAAAGCAATAGAAATACATACTGGATCTAAATAAATGAAATTAAATAGATGAAAAAATAAAATCCAGACTATGGAAGACTAGATACCAAAAAAACAAACACACACACACACACACACAGCCCTCCAAAATCCAAATCAAAGCAAAAACCTTCTCCCAGTACAAAACACCTGGATTAAAAAAACCCCGCAGTTTTAGAGTCATAAGTAAATTTGTAAGAAACTAAGACAAAACAAAATAAAACAAATTAGATTAGAAACAAAGAGGATACTGAAAACCAGAAAGGAAAGCTGATACTAATACTTTAGCTGCCCTAGAGGCATTTGTGGTGTTAAACCCCCAGTGGGACACAAGACAAAGCCACGGGCCTTTAGAAAATGGGAAAAACTTTTGGCACTACTTTACTCTCAAGACATTTGACAATTATGTAAATCACTAGTGAGAAATTTAACAGAGCTTTTGACAGATTCTCAGGTCAGAAGGGGACAAAAACTGCAAAAGAGCAAAGGAGAAGAGGCCTCGATAAACACCCTAGGCTTTCAATTGGGATTCCAAAGAGTAAGGGAAACTAGAAATAGCTCATCAACAAAGGGAATAAAAATTAGCTTTGAACCAACTCAGTCCCTAAATGGATTGAGGTTATCTGGATGCTGTTAGTTAAGTGTATGCCAGAAGCAAATTAAATCCTCTCTGAAGGAAAATAACTTCACCCAGAGCTTCAAATTAGCTCCATAAATTTTCGCTAACAATGTTCACAAATCAAGCAGAAATAAAAAGGTGTTTAAGAAGACTTGACCAAAAACCAAGAGGAAAAAACCCATGACAGTTGAAATAGAAGAAATGCAAACATGGACTAAAAAATAACTATTATTAATATAGTTCAAGGAATTAAAAGACAAGAAGAAAAATACTGACATAGACTGAATATTACTAAATATTATAAAAAGAAAAAATGGAAATTCTAGAAACAAAAGTTTAATGATTGAAATTAATAAAATTAAGAATTAATAGGTGAGGTTAATGACAAATTATGCACAGCTGAAGGGAGAATTGTTGAACTAGAAGTTATAGGAAAAGGACATATCCAAACTGAAACAAATAAAGAAAAAGAAAAACTGATAATACAGAAAAGTGCATATGAGACATATGGCAAATGGTTACAATGTTGAATATATGTGTAATAAGATTATCAGAAGGAGGGAAGAGATAGAATGGAGAAGGACAAATATTTGAAGATATAATAACTGGAAATTTCCTAAAACTGACAAGGGACATCAAATCCAAAAACTAAAGAAGTCCTGAAGCCACAAGTAACATAAATACTTAGGCTCATCATAGTAAAATTACATAAAAGCACAGACAAAGAGAAAATATCAGGGAAACAACAAGGAAAAAGAGAAATATTTCCTTTTAATAAGCAATGTCAGTTCTGTGAAACCACTAATGTGCTGTCCTGTGGTTAATCCCAAATTGGGTGGAACTTTCTGTGGAGACTCGGACTTGAGTTAGTAGTTACTATTAATCCACCAATAACTGGAAAAGAAAAGCCCCACAGACCAGAAACAAAGCTCTGATATTAAGCAGTAAAGGTCTAATACTTCCAAAGAACTTGTATAAAATGTAGAGGAGGTAGCAGTCTGTTGAAATTCCCAGGCATCAATGTAAGAACATGAAGACTGAAAAAGAACAGAGAAATATGAAACCAACAAAGGGAACAAACAAAGCACCAGCAATCAACCCAGAGGAATAGCAGATTTATGAAACGTCTAACAGAGAATTCAGAATAACCCTCTTAAGAGTGCTCAAGGAAAAAAACTGTCAGCCAAGAATTCTATATCCAGCAAAACTAACCTTCAAATTTGAAGGAGAAATAAAGTCTTTTCCAGTCTTACAAAAACCACGGGAATTCATCAGCACTAGACCTGCCTTACAAGAAGTGCTAAAGCTATTCAATCTGATAGAAGACAACACTAAGGAGCAGCAAGAAAGCATTTGAAGGTACATAACTTATCAGTAAAGTACATTTACAGACAACCTCAGAATACTCCAGTGTCATAAGGGGGGGTGAATAAACTGTTTACATGCTTAGTATAAAGACTAACGGACAAACCTAACAAGATACTGACATATACAACAACAATATGAGAGATAGGCAATATTAAAGCTGTAACCTGAAACAATGAATTGTCAAAAAGTGGGGGGAGAATGATGTCAAAGCTTTGTTTTTTTTCTTTTAGATATCAAAATTAAGTTATTAGTCTAAAATAATCTGTTGTAACTATAACATGTTTTTGTAAGCCTCATGGTAACCATAAAATCTTACAAGAGACATACTAAAAATAATTACTGAGAAATCAAAATACAGTTAATCATAAAGGAAGACAGTAAGATCACAAAAAAGAAAAAAAGGATCAACAAAATGGCCAGAAAAAAAAGTAACAAAATGGCAGTAACAAGTTCCTATACATCAATAATAACTCTAACTGTAAATGGATTAAATGCCAATTAAAAGACACAGAGTGGCTTAATGGATTATGAAACAAGAACCAACAAAATGTTGCCTACAAGAAACTCACTTCACCTATAAAGACACACACCATCTGAAAATGAAGGGATGGAAAAAGGTATTTCACATAAATGAATAACAGGAGTAGCTATACTTAGATAAAATAGACTTCCAGCCAAAGCAACTAAAAAAAGATAAGGAAGGTTGTTATATAACGATAAAGAGATCAATTCAACAAGAGCATATAATAATTCTAAATACATATGCACCCAACTTTGGAGCACCCAGTTATATAGAGCAATTACTATTGGACCTAACAGGAGAAATAGACTCCAACACAATAATAGTTGGGGAATTTAATACCCCACTTTTGGCAAAAGATGGATCATCCAGGCAGAAAATTATCCATGAATCATCAGAATTAATCAGTATTTCAGGCGATTTGGACTTAATGAACACATATAGAACATTTCATCCAACAGCTGCAGAAGGCACATTCTTCTCAGCAGCACACGGAACATTCTCTACAATAGACCATATGTTAGGTCACAAAACAAGTCAACAAATTTTAAAAAATTGGAATCGTATGAAATACCTTGTCTGACAACAATGGAATAAAACTAGAAATCAACAACAAAAGGGAAACTGGAAACTGTACAAATACATGGAAATTAAACAACATGCTCCTAAACAATGAATGGGTCAAAGAAGAAAATCAAAAAGGAAATTTACAAATTCCTAGAGACAAATGGAAATGAAAACACAACATAGCAGAATCTATGTTAGCAATAAATGCCTACATGAAAAAGGAAGAAAAATTTCAAATAACCCAACATTACATTTCAAGGAACAAGAAAAACAAGAACAAACCAAACCCAAAATCTGTGGGAGAGAAACAACAAAGATCAGAGCAGAAATAAATGAATTAGAGATTTAAAAAACAATACAAAAGATCAATGAAACAAAGTGTTAATTTTTCAAAAAGATAAAGCAAAACCTATAAACCTTTACCTGGACTAAAGATATGGATAAATAGAACATAGTGTTCTTAGAGGATAACTAGAGGGGCAGCCAACAAAGTTACTGCTTAATATGAGTACGAGGGGTCATCAAAAAGTTTATGGAAAGATTCATATTATCTTTTAGT